AAAATAATTAATATTCGTTGAAATCTGTATTTAAATTATCAATTAAGAATACTGAAAATAAATGTTTATGAACACTTTGCCATCACCAACGAGAGTTAAAGTAATTTCTTGCTAATTATTTTCCTGATTATAACATATTCTAATATAACAGATTAATTCCGTTCGGTTGGGTTTGGTTGGGTTTGGTTTCCCTCAATCCCTCAAAAATAGTGTATTTCTTAAATAATTGATTGCAAAATCATATGATAAAACAAAAACTTAAAAGAATATAATGAAAAAAGTTTATAACTTCCTTAAGCGTTGGACGAGGCGACAATATGATAACAATATAGAACAACAAAAATGTTTTGAATTTTTATGAACGTTGCGGGCATTAAAAAATGAAAGCAACTTTTTCCTATAATTTTTAATTGTATATTATTTTAATTACATAGATTAACTGTAAAATATATATTGGAAAAAAAATACAAGTTGATTTAAAATTATTGATAAATCCAGTTTGATAATGCACAAAGTAAATGGAGTTCTCAAAATTATTTTTATTATCTGCTTATCCGATTTACTATTAAACAGTTTTTACTAAAAACCTGAAATATGAATTTTCTGTTTCAAGATATTTTTAAGTAACCTGATTTTACTGGAGTTATTAATTTATTGTGTAATATATAATTAGACAAAAGTTCATTGTTAATTAAAAAAAAAAGTCAGTACAGGGGGTCGCGGCACAGTGGTGACGTGGCATAGTTGAATCAATTATAATGATATCTGTCAGTGATTAAAATCACTATAAAAAAAACGCTTGGATGCAAATCTTTAGATAGTGTTTAATTTTAAAAAATTGGTGGTTTATTCCAAAAGCAACATGATCTGCTATTTCCTTATTAATATCCTAAATGAAAAAGGGATTATTAAAAAATATTATTTCTCATAAAAAAATTGTTATTGTCTATACACTTTTCAATAAGTTATAGCATTATAAAGTTAAAAATGTAAAATACAAAATCGAGAATTTTCACACAAAAATAGCATTTGGTAGCCATTTTCATCGTGAAGATAAAATAAAGTCCGAAATTTTTTTATTCCATAATAAAGTATATTACATTAACTTTAATTTTAGATATATATAAAAGTGTCAGTATTTCCGGAACACTTTCAAAATTTAAGTTGAAAAAATTAATTTTTTGTGAAAAAGTTGTCATTTCAAATCCTCCCTTGTGGGCAGGTCTAGAGTCAAATTTATAAAATAAATATACCAAATGATAGGTAAAGACATCAATCATCTATAAAAAAAAAATTATATTGATTTGTTCATTTTTGAAAAAGTTATGGCAGCTTTAAGTAAAAACAGTTGAAAAAATCTCGAAAATAAGTGTTTTTTAAATTTGTAATTTTTTTGGAGGTTTCCTCCATTTATGGGGATTGAAGGAATTTTTTTCAATTTTTGAGGGTAATGTCTTCGACTAGATACGATTTGTGATCTTTTGACGTATCTTTGAAAGAAATCGGTCCCGTGAGAGCTGAGAAAAAGTGGTAACAGACAAAAAAAAAAACACATCATAGTAAAATTAATACCTTCTCAGCTTCGCAATGATGCTAAAAATAGTGAATTATAATATCCTAGAATTATTAAAACGCAAAAAAAATATCGTGCTACTACTAATATTATTTATTTTGTTCGTTTTATTACAAGAAAACACTTATATGACTACTACTCAAAAGACGGCTACAAAAGTGTTAGTAGAACAAAATATATTTGTAAAATAATAATATATATTGTCGTACTCGTGTAAAAAGTGACCTAGAGAATTTTAACTATTTATTTTTTACAATAGTAATTTAAGATTGAATCACTCATTAAATGACTGAAAATGTTCGATTTTTTTTATTGAAAAATATAAAATTATTATTTTTTTTTACATATTCTTGAGTTTTTTAAATTTTTTAGTATCGTAACTCAAAAATAAGGGGTTTGTTCAGCAATATAATAATTTGGTAAAAAGGAAGAGTTACTTTAATTCGGGGTATGATTCGAAGGTAATAAAATAATTAAGACAAGTAGATATAAAAGAAATTTTATTTCTTATCGTGAAAAAAGTCCCTATTTTACATATATTCGTATTTATTTGTTTAATAAAATATTAATATTGTTTTTGTATCAAATATTTATTATCTACATATAATAATTATTATTGATCTTAAAAAAAAAATTCTAAAAGACTCGGTATACTTTTTATTAACATCATTCAGTGAACAATGTTAAATACAAAAGTATGGTGATTGAAAAAAAAAAACTGATAATATTTTCAAATCAAATAGTTTTTGCTTTAAAGACCTCGCTAAGTATAGTAACGTAAAAAAGTCCCAAATACAATTTTAAAAAATTATTGTTAGCTACTGCTTCATCGAGTCATGAAATTTCTAATTAAATGATTAATAAACAAAAAAAACCCAGCACAGGGGGGTCGCGGCATAGTAATGACGTGGTATAGATGGATCAAGTATAATGATATCTGACAGTGATTAAAATCACTATAAAAAAAAAACGCTTCGATGCAAATCTTTAGATAGTGTTTAATTTTAAAAAATTGGTGGACTATTCCAAAAGCTACATGATCTGCTAGTTCATTATTAATATCCTAATTAAGATAAAGTATGTAGAATGAAAAAGGGATTATTAAAAAATATTATTTCTCATAAAAAAATACTGTTGATTCATACACTTTTCAATATGTCATAGCATTATATAAAGTTAAAAAAGTAAAAAATAAAATCGAAAATTTTCACACAAAAATAGCATTCGGTAGCCGTTTTCACCATGAAGATAAGATAAAGTCCGAAATTTTTTTTTTTTCATGATAAAGCATATTACATTAGCTTTAATTTAAGATATATATAAAAGTGTCAGACCTTCCGGAACATTTTCAAAAGTTAAGTTGAAAAAGTTAATTTTTTGTAAAAAAGTTGTCATTTTAAATCCCCCTTGTGGGCAGGTTAAGGGTTAAATTTATGAAAAAAATATACCAAATGAAAGGTAATGATATCATGCATCTATATAAAAAAGATTTATATTGATATGTTCATTTTTGAAAAAGTTATGGCACTTTTAAGTAAAAAAAATTGAAAAAATTTCGAAAATTAGCGATTTTTAAATTTGTAATTTTTTTGGAGGTTTCCCCCTTTTACGGGGAACGAGGGAATTTTTTTCAATTTTTAAGGGTAATGTCTTCGACTAGATACGATTTGTGATCTTTTGACGTATC